AACCCTAAACCCTAAACCCGCCCTAAATCCTAAACCCTAAACCCTAAACGCCCCCATTGTGTGGCAACGTGCATCCCCGCCTGCATCTGCCAGCCTCCATCATCCCAGTCGAAGATGATGCGCTCCCGGCTGCCTGCACCACGAAGCACCCACTTCTACAAGCACAAGGGTTTCGGGTTTTAGGGTTTAGGGTTTAGGGGTTTGGGGTTTAGGGTTTAGGGTTTAGGGTTTAGGGTTTAGGGTTTGGGGTTTGGGGTTTGGGGTTTGGGGTTTAGGGTATGGGGGTTTACCAAAATAAGGGACCCTTAATGTAGACCCCCCAAATAGTAGGATTCCTTTTAAAAAGGACCCCAAGAAGGTACCCCCTGATTTCGGCAACCCCCATGCAAGCACCTAGGAATCTAAACCCTAAACCCTAAACCCTAAACCCTAAACCCTAAACCCTAAACCCTAAACCCTCAACCCTAAACCCTAAACCCTAAACCCTAAACCCTAAACCCTAAACCCTAAACCCTAAACCCTAAACCCTAAACCCTAAACCCTAAACCCTAAACCCTAAACCCTAAACCCAAACCCGAAGCCCTAAGGCATGAACGAAATACCCCTTCTGAAAGCCAACGGCCACCATGTGCGCGAGGGTTTAGGGTTTAGGGTGTAGAGTTTAGGTTTAGGGTCTAGGGTTTGGGGTTTAGGGTTTAGGGTTTAAGGTTTAGGGTTTAGGGTTTAGGGTCTAGGGTCTAGGGTTTGGGGTTCAGGGTTTAGGGCTAAGGGCTTAGGGCCTTGGTCCAGGCCGAGGTGGTCCGCAACCTCCAAGAAGTAGTTCGCGGTGGCGGAGCGGCTCATGTGCAAAGCCGGGATCGCCACCTCGATGGTGTCGGACTGCGAGATGAAGCTGGCGATGTGGATCCCATAGCCACCGGTGACCTGGGTATTTTCCCAACATAGGGGTACCTCTTATATACCCCCAAGTACCATGATCCTAATGATTGGTACCATGATCCTAATGATTGGTACCCCTTATATACCATGATAGAACCCCCAAAAAGTGTCTACTCCTATTTTCGGAAACCCCCACCTCGATGAACTTGCTGAGGGGTACGGGAGGGACCCGACCCAGGTCGTCAATCCTGGTGTCGCATGGTATGATGCGCGCGAGGCGATCGGAGAGGGCGGAGATGGCGCCAAAGACGCAGATGATCCTTTGGAGGCTGTAGGGTTTAGGGTTTGTGGTTTAGGATTTAGGGTTTAGGGTTCAGGGTTAGGGTTCAGGGTTTAAGGTTTAGGGTAATTACAAGGGGCTTTATGGTCCAAGAAGGAATCCGGATTCTCGTAAGGGTATAGGGTCGATGTACCTACGACAGGGACTGAAGTAATATCGGGTATAGAGCCCATCTATCAGCATAGTATACATGATCCCTAAACCCTAAACCCGAAACCCTAAACCCGAAACCCGAAGCTTTCTGCCACTGCCCCGAGGATCGTGGCATCGAAGCCGCGGGCGAGGTCAGCGCGCGCGGCGGGCGAGTCCTTCAGGGAGAGACCATTTGTACATAGAGAAAGATATATATATATATATACATATATATATAAAGAGAAGAGAGCGAGATAGAGAGAGAGAGAGAGACAGAGAGAGAGAGAGAGTCTATAATACAGAGCGAGAGAGAGAGAGAGAGAGGGGGGCATTGTGCATGTATGTATATATGTATCTGTATGTGCATATGTGCATATCCGTATATATGAACCCAAATATAACTCCTCACCATACCTAAGTAGCCCCCGAACCCGGCCCCTTGCAAGGGGTCTTCCGCTAGCCCCTACACCCCAAACCCTAAACCCTAAATACTAAACCCTAAACCCTAAACCCTAAACCCTGAACCCTAAACCCTAAACCCTAAACCCCAAATTCCCCAAAGCCCAAACCCCAAACCCGCAGCCCTAAACCCTGAAAGCCCCCACCTCGCCCCGGTGGTCCTTCGAGGGCTGGCCGCGACCCGATGCCCCTGGGAAGGCCACCTGCGGTGGGTGCAGCTTCAGGGTTCAGGGATTTAGGGTTTGAGGGTTTGAGGGTTTAGGGGTTTAGGGGTTTTTAGGCGTTTAGGGGTTTAAGGGTTTAGGGTTTAGAGCTTAGGGGTTAGGGTGTTGGCTTCGGAGAATTTTGGGCCTTACGGTACTTGAAGGGCTCGGGGGCCCAGGCGAGTGGAGGCAGGGCCCCCATGGTTAAAACTGCTGTCCCATCAAGCCCAGCACTAAACCCTAAACCCTAAACCCTAAACCCTAAACCCTAAACCCTAAACCCTAAACCCTAAACCCTAAACCCTAAACCCTAAACCCTAAACCCTAAACCCTAAACCCTACCTAACCCAAACCCTAAACCCTTCCGTCCTGGGGCGCCATGTCCTGGAGTGCGGTGTCCTTCCGCTGCGTGACGATGCTGAAGGCCGCGGCGGCAAAGTGGGAGCAGAGCCGCAGCAGCGTCTGCTGCCTTATAGGGTTTAGGGTA